TTTTTTTTCCAAATTTGTTGCTGTTTTTGATGTAAAGGTGGAGCCCAGTTATGAAAATATCTTTATCCGTTTTGCTGAGCTGGCATACCAGTCGACTCGGATAATATTCTCTCTCTCTCTTGATTTAATTAATGACTTGTACATGTGGTGACAGTTCCGGGCGGGGCCTATGGACCCTGGGTAAAAACAGATGTGAGCCGTCCGATTGATTTGGTCAGGGGTGAGGTGCAGTGAGTTAACCAATGTTGGAACAGTGAATAATTGAAATAGTGAAGCGGAAAAGAGTAGAGAAAACACATGAGGAGGAGTTGCTTGTTTGCCTTGCATTTGTTGTTTATTTAGGCCATCAAGTATGAAAGAATCTCGTGAGTCTGCGGCTTGTGCCCCTAGGCGCAGATCGAGCCATTCAATTGACAAAGCAGTACAAATACCAATCCTCTTCGCAGTTCCTGATTTTGCATTGTCCATTTCCTTCACTTTCGGACATCAGACTCAGCCAGAGAGGGTGAAACATTTCAAAATTGATTTCTCTTCTTGATTTATTCGTCGCCGCTTCTGGAAAATGTTAATTTCAACCATCCACAAGCACCAACGGGAATAAGGTAGTCGGTGGTCACGATCATCACTTTTTAATTTTTAATTTTGTTTATTATTATATGTATAAAATCAGATATACATATATTTATAATATAATTATTATGATAATTACTTTTTAATCAATTTTTTATATAAAATTCTAGACTTGTCACTATTTACAAGGTATTCTACTTGTATTTCCCCACAAGGGTTGATCTTTTATATCATTTTATCTGAATTTTGAAAAAAATTTTACTAGCATTAAATGCACCATATTTGTATTTAATCTATACTTAATACTCAATATGATAATCTAGTCGTAGTGAAAAATAAGCTCAGAAAGTATGATGTAAAGCAACCTATGTTAGATTTAATTTCAATTTGAACGAGTTAAATCAAACAAGAGCCATCCGAGTATAAATAATTTATAATTTACTTACATAGTTCTTGGAATAAAACATAATTTAGCCATCCAAGTTTTTCCAAATCTGCACTTAAACCACTCGATTTTTTTTCTTGTTCAATTTAAGTTTTCATCTCACTATATGGTTAGGTTAAGTTAATTGATTCAATTAAGCCAATCGGACATTAAATCACATAAACTTAACAATATAATTGACCAATTATTGAATCAATTATTACAAATTAACAATTCATTAAACGTTAACTTAATTTAACTAATTGACTTAATTGATCAATTATTACAACTAAATAGTCAACCTTTACAACTTAGGATGAATCGCCTAGGGCTCTTTTTGGAGCTGTAGTGAAGCTAAAAACAATAAAATTAATCCATCAAAAAATGAAATAAAATTAGACAGAGAAACAAATTAACCAACAAATCTGAAAATAAGCCAATTACTCAAATGAATGAGGCTTAAAACTTTAAGTTTGTGTAAACTTGAAAACAAACATGTTGAGCTTGATTGAATGAGTGCTCGACGAGCTTACAAATTAAAAAGTTAATAAGCAAACAGAATGCAAACTTGAAAAAAACTAGAGAAAAAGATAAGAAAACAAAGGTGTTTGAGAAACCAAGTTGATAATTGAGCTTGAGATGTGCTTTTTTGTGCTAAAAATTTGTGTGCCCTCTCTTTGAATGTTGCCTCCTTCAATCTATGGAAAAGCTACCTGTTAGTTGAGTCCTAATACCAGTTGAGAGAATATTTGTAAAGAATTTTCGGTATTCACTTAATCTTTTTTAAATACAGCAGTGGAGCTTAGTGAGAGAAAAGACTAACAGAATTAATAGACCGACTAGAAAGAGAAACTACCTACCTAAAGTTAGTTACACAGTCATCAGATATGGTAATTAAGAGTAACAATATAGTAAAAAGGTTATTTAATTATTTGACACGTGACACAAGTGTTTCGCGAGTTAACTATCTAAAACTTTATATGCCACTCACGTGGTGCTCTTCTTCTTTAAATCTTCATTTCACATCACTAATCTTCCTTCATTTATTAACACTCCCCCTCAAGAGGTGTATGTCAAGAACGCACGTCTTGCAGAGTCAATTGCTGAATTGTCTTGGCTGTAAAGCCTTTGTGAATAAGTCTTCAAGCTAATTTTCAACACACATACATAATAATAGATTTCCATAACCCCTGTTATCACATTCTCTCGAATGCAGTGACAATTAAATTCCATATGTTTTTTAACGTTTATAGAAAATAAGATTTTTTGTAAATGTGAATTGCAGATTGATTGTCGCAATGCAACTTCACCACATCAATGTAAATAAACCAAAATTTGCTAATTAAACTTCAACCAAATAATTTTACAACATGTTGATGTCATTGAATGATACTTTGCTTTTGTTGAGCTCTGAGTTACCATAGATTGTTTTTTTGACTTCCAGCCTACAAGAGATTTTCCAACAAATTCACAAAATCCTATCACAAATCCTTTTGTATATGGACATTCTACCCAATCCCTATCTGAATAGGTAGATATGCAAATCTTTGAATATGCTCTTATGAGAATTCCCTATCCAAGTGCCATTTTGAGATATTTCAAGATCCTATAAGCAACCATCAAATTCACATGTCCATGTTCATCCATATATTGAGATAAAACTTGAACTGCATATTATGTATCTGATCATGTGAAAGTCAAATATATCAACTTCCCAATTAACTATCTTTAAATAGTTGGAGCACTAATTCTTTCTTCTTATGCTAGCTTACTCAACTTATAATTATAATCTATAAGAGTGGTGCTAGGTTGTGTCCTTAATAATCCATGCTCTTCCAAGAGATCAAGAGTGTTCTTTCTCTAACATATTGAAATCCCTTCAAGTGATCTTGCAACCTCAAGTCGCAAAAAGTATTTTAACTTGCCAAGGTCTTTCAATTTTGTTCCATTTCAATGTGGTGCATCCACATAGTATGCAACTTTGTTAATTGTTTGTGAATAATTAATAAATATTTAATTAATTAATATTGAATATTGTTATGATATTTCTGAATTGAATAATTAAAAATGTTTGGATAGGATATAAATTTAAATTTAATTTATTTAAATTTAAATAAAGATTAATTACATTTAAATTTAAAAGAAATATCCTACCTCTATATGCCTAACATATTTATAACTAGTGAACGGAAGTATTGGTTTTTTCACACAACGAAGAATAAATGTGAGTTGTTCT